AATATTATTTGGGCAAAGGACCACAGACTGCCAGTGAAAATGTGAGCAGAACATAATAGTTTGATAAACTTCAAAAAATGTTGGTCAGTGTGAATTTGTAAAATGATGCAGTTCTATGCAGAATCACTGAAATTTGTATATTACTGAAATCATCACTCGAAGACCTTTTCAAAAGTGCCAGGAACAATATTATATGTGTATTTTTAACCTTTATACAGACAGCAGGAGCACTGTCAGCTGAATTTGCATCTCATAGCAGGAACCAGCACCACTGCCTACTACATAATGAAGTATCAGAATAACAATAAGTTACCTTGTCAGATGAAATTTTTTAATTTTTGAACTACATAAAGCAAATAATTTTATCATTAACAATTCAGCAGCTACTTCACAGATATGTTACACAAGATCATTTTTAATTGTGGGTTTTGAGCACATATGTTAATAATCTTGCGCCTATTTTCGATTACACAAAATATTCCCTATGACAAGGAACACACACTTTGTGTTAGCCAGTATATTCATGTTTTTAATAAGAAAATGTGTCCTAAAGTTGCACTAATAAACATTGATATTCTTCTGATTTGTTTGATAATTTTCAGATCACAATAAGGTACTACATTTGCTAAAACATCCACATATTTCCTCTACACAGCTATTCCATAAAAACCTATGTGGATAGAAAGTCTGATCGGACTAAGCTTATATGGGAAGCCAGTTTTGTAGGAAGATGCAGTAGATGCTGTTAATATACTGAGATAAACTTTAAGATAATGAAAAGATTATGTGCTAAAATAGTTACCTGCTTTTTCTGTTATAACAGTATATTTCAGTTATAAGCAGTACTATTCCATCTATGAGCATGCAACAGATCATTTATAAAACTAGAACAAAATTATTAATTAACTTAAAACCTATTTTGCATTTACAGAACTCTTTTTCTCCCCCAAAAATTGTTCTGAGCTTTAAATACACAGGCCAAACAACTTGCCAAACAACTATCCCACTTCACACTGAACCAGGAAAGGTTTATCCTGAAGCAAATTTATCCAGAATCCCCCAACTATCATGTGTCATATCTAGTATTCATGGTGTCATATAGATGATACCCATGCATACCAAGAAAAGATTGCTCAATGAACCCATAATACCTATGAGCAAAGAGAAGGCTGGCAGTAAGTGCACAAATTTAATCCAAAAATCATTTAATTTCAAGCAATTTTCAATTTACTTTGATGGAATTCAGATTTATTTTCTCTGGGAAGGCATACATGTAGCAGGTCACAAGCATGAAACTTCTCAATGAACACATTTCCATGTAAGCTGTCTGGAACTCTATAACTCCATTTGGAAGACTAAGTTTGTGTCTTTAGTACCACTTACACTTATACACATCATTCTGTATGGGAACAGTGAAACCCCTGCATAAAATGTGTGCATAACATGTTAGAATTAATATACTAATGTGTGAAATAATAATAATATGTTTAAAATGAGAAGGGAGCCCCTGGTGGTCTAGTGGTAAGGGCGCGGCGCTGTCACCGCGGAGACCCGGGTTCGATTCCCGGTCGGGGCCACTCCCGGGCAGGTGGGGCTCGTTAGCCCTTAAAGGCAACCCACCTACGTCCTAAGGACCTCGCTGCCACCGTCCAAGCTCACTTGGCCCCAGCAGATGAACCTTAGGATTAAAGGGTGGGCTCAGTTCCGCGCACACTGTGTCTCACCTAAAAAATCCGATGCGCAGGCTGGAAGGTGTAAAGACCTTCCCCGGATCTTCACTCGTGAAGACTGGCCATTAATGTGTGAAATAGTATATTCATAAACAACTGCTTTTAGATTCTCTGCTTTTGTTGCTCCCTTTCAAATTCTTGAAAGTATGGTAAAAGAGATGAAAGCTTCAGGTTCAAATAGCTTTAAAATAAATCTATATTTATGCTAAAACATCAGTGCTGTGTCCAAGCATTGTTTGGACTGCTACATACCCCTAATTTTGTACTGCCTCTCAGGAGAGAATGATCTTGGGAGCTATTATCCCTGAGACAGAATTGTCTGCATGTTTGGTGCAAATGTACAGGGCAGTATAATGTCTGATAGAGATATTTTAGCACAACTGACAAAATGTGTAGGCTGCAAAAGTATGTTGAAAATTATTTGTAAATGCTTAAAAAATCTCAAACTTTTACATGGATTATGGTAGAAATATTAGTGAGGATGTGTGATAATCAGGAATGATCACTGATGATTTGGATGATAGCACTTTCTGAGGAGATCATGAATTACATTGAACTTCAACAAGTATTTTAGACTTCATCTAATTTCAGCAAATAAAGATTATTAATCATTCAGAGCAATCTGGTAAATTCAGATTGATTACAATGGGAAACATTTTGCATCCCGTTATCATTATTTCTGTAATACAAACCTATATTTTTGACATTATTTGTGGGTTTTTATCACCAGTTCTGTTCTGAGTAAAAACGCTTCCATACACACTGTTTGGAAGAAGTACCTGAGTGTATAAGAACATGAATAGACTGTAGTAATTTCATCCGTTTTAGATAGCAGTACTAAAGCTGAATAGAGGGCTCTGTAATCAAGAAGAAATAGTATTAAATATGTAAACCATGGATCATACAGTCTGATATTGAGGGTAAAGTGGCATAAAATAAAAGAACAAAGTTGATACTATATGCATTGTCGATTTATTCATTTGTTTATGATTGATGGATATAGAACAAAGAGTTTCCAAGTAAAAATGCTTATGTACCTACATGCAGTGACTCTGAAATCTGTACCTTAAGGACAAAGAAAGGTCGCCAATCTCTCCAACTCCTAGTTCTTTGTCAAAAATGGACACAGTTAATGAGGTTTGTTTGGTACAGCACAAATTCTCAGACACAGATAGAGATCCTTTCAATGGAAACAAATTTGTTTGGCTTTACCAGGTTACTTAGCGATTAATAATAGCCTTGAGATGCAGGTCAGAAAGGTCATCGTCCCTGCTTACCAACACAATCTAAAATGTGCAGCTAGTCCAGCTCTGCAGGCTTTGAGGACCCGGAATGCTATGCATAAAGTAAAACAGGCTATTTTCCAACTTCTTTTTTCATATTAATAAGCAATTTTCAAGAGAAGGGTGGCAAAATGGGGGCCATGCCACTCTAAGTAATTCATTTATTTTGCAATTTAATCTTATGTTGGAAAAAAATTACACTGCTGCAAAAGCATAGCATGGTGATTTTTAAACGTCAGTGTGCTTCATAAGTAACCTTGTATGAAATATTGTATTAGCAGCCTTTAACAGTAAACTGCAACAAAAAATATTTTCAGGGATTGAAACATACCTGTACATTTTTTCCAATCTTTATTTCCCTCTCATTCCATTTTTATTTTACAGTGGAAATAAAGCATGTTTAATTACCTAATATTTTACCTATTTTAATTGATAAAAACTTGAAAGATAGCATGAAACAAATAAAAATGCTACGCTTCAACTTGTACTTAAGAATGTGATTTCTTAGTTTTCATATTTATAAAGTAATTATTGTTCTTTCATATATTTTGATGAACTAATTTAATGATAACTAAAATATCAAGAGTAAGTCTGAGCCACAATCTTAAAAACACTTTCACAAGCAATATGTTTTTCCCATGGGGTTATTCATATCAGCAAACTTATCCATGTGCATATTTTGACACAATTTGACCCATGTCCTCACAGTGTCTTATTTGGTACTCATTGAAACAACTGAGACTAATAATGTGGTCCTCTCTAAATAATCTGTTTTGCAGGAATATTTGAATTATCTAGTTATGTGAATAATATTTTTTCTTTTTATTTTATCATATACACACATGCTTAAAAAAATAAGACTAGAATTTACTCACTCAATTAACATTTAAGTAACCTAAATGCTTGAGTGAATATGCTTGGTGTCTTTGGCACACAGGTTAATTTGAACTAGCCATTTTGTAATAACAAAAATAACAAGTGTTAATCAAACTAACCTTTTTTAACTGGGTCAAAAAAATTCCATACACGTGCACTGCACACAATATCACGGAATTTAGTTTCTTTTAGAACGTTAATTTACTCTATCGTTTGCATAATATATGGCAAACCTGGCTCTATCAAAAAAAAAAAAAACCTTTGAGAAGGAAATCTGTGCCCACTTTCTGTTAAAGTTTTACTCTAAACATTCAGTTAAAATCATGAGTTTTCTCCATTCTTTGAAACCTGGTATTAGATATGGTTCCTTATTTCTTGTATGATGAAAGAATTTTCTACACAGGCAGTGGTCCGTGAGGCAGTTACGTTCCTGTTTCTTGTGGTGGCCTGTATGGTTCCTATCAAACCAGAGCAGGAATAACTTATGAGAGAAGTCTAATGCCATGGAAAATCCTCTTAAGGACAATGTATGCACAAAAGGTTTACATCCAGTTTTTCTCTATGCCTACATTCTCAACCTTACAAAGGCTCAAGGATCTAGGAGTGACTGTCGTCTTTCATCCTATGTCTACTATCCTCTCTCATTCCACAAGATCTCACCTATCTGCAGATCAGGAGGGGTACAAGGCACTACCTGAGACATAAGTGAACAACTTTTATTTTGAAACCATTTTCAGGAAAATCACTTCATTATAATAGTTCCTGCTTAGAGATAATAAAACTAAAATGATACTCAAAGACAAATAAAAGGACATATATGAATACTATTTTATCAGGCTGTAAAAATACATAGGTTGACATATGCTTCAAAAGACTAAGCAATATGAACTCATATACTGTTCATACTTTAATCCTATTTCTTCATAGCTGTATCTGTGTAGATACTGCTGCTGTGGAATTGAATGAACTGTAATTTTGCCTTCCAGTGATGTCAGTATACTGCTAATACATAATAGCAGAACACTGTTTAGCTATGAAAGGGTTAAAGTAAAATAGAGCATTAGCACATCTTTTATTGTTGTAATATAATAGCAGACTTATTTTATTACAGGAGTGAACTTCAAGAGTACATAGAAAAAAAGGAAAATGAAGATAAAATGAAAGACCTAGAGAAGAAAGAAAAGGAAAGGAAATACCAAGCCCGAAAGATGCATTACCTCCTTAGCACTGAGCAGGTTGGTATACCTGTCCCTGACAGCTCATGCAAACCACTTGGGCCCCCAGCCTGACAGAGATAAAGTAGCAGGCTGAATGGGACATGACTTGTTGAAAAGATATCACAAAGACACTACTTCGAGTTCAATTTAGTGCCTTTCTATAGGCAAGAGCAGGTACCATGACTATTCTGTGACAGTAGCCTCATAGAGGCAGCATCAGCACTGCTGGCAGAAAGAGTCCAAGTCAGCAGTTTGATCTGCCACTGTGATAACACAACATGAAGGGCATAACCTCGCTTTAAAAACTCATTTTGACTGGCTTATTGTTGTGTTGTTGCACTTGTCAAGAACTAACAAGTTATTAAGCTGAGAAGGGATTTCATTTTTTTCCCCTTTTTTAATTGACTTAATGCTTGGGTTGTGCTGTGTTCTGCTTGTTTTTAGGATAGATTGTAAATGCAGGTTTTCAGCTAAAGCTTTTCCTAGAACTTCCTGAAACAGCTTATTTAGCATGATTGTTTTCGTTCAGAAATGCCTCATAAATTTTAAATATTTGCTGATTAATTTGTTTTGTATTGATAAAACTGGTATGTTTTTCCAAGCTTATGTAAGCTGCTTTATAGACAGGTGAATATGGCAGTAGATTTATCATATGCAAAACTGATGTGATTGGTAAAGCTTGTGGGTTTGCCTTTTTTTACTCATCTTTTGTGAACCTTAAAAAAGAAAAAACAAACCCTAAAGATTTTGTCTCCATAAATGTTTGGTGACTTGTTATTCTTCATATGAATATGGAATTAAAGTGAAATGTTAGTATGAACTAAATGCTTGCTTTTCATGGGTTGATAATTATAATCTGTGTTTAAGAACTGTTAATCCTAAAAAATGCAGAAAAATACTATGACACCTAGTGACAAAATATTTAATTTTCCCCTCTGTTTGGGACATCTGTAATTTTATTTGAAAAAAAAAAAAGCATAGCACAGTGTTAGTAAAAAATAGCATAAAATGTGTTCTTAGTGCCTTTTAGACAGAGGAGCTAGTTAATAACTCAAATTAGATCACTAGAATGGATTTTTACAGATGTAGATCTAGGATATTAAAAATAATCTACACAGTATTTTTATATTGTTTTAAACTGTAGAAAATTGGGAATTCTTGTTTTGAACAGAACAATTAATGTAAACAAATGCATAAACATTACTATGCTTACCTGGAGCTCAAAAATTGTCACGTTAGAGACTGAGTGACCTGTGGTCTAAGATCGTATTAAACTTAGTTTACCTAAGTATCTGATGATACTGGCTTAGCAATCTGTAGCATATTTTTAAGGAAAGGCAAGTAGTGCCTTATTTCAGCCATCCACAGGAAGACTGCTGGTAGAGGGCAGCGGTAAGTATTATGTTCTGATGAATTGAGATTTCTAATTTAATTAGAATTTAGATAGCAGTGTCTTGCAAAACAAAAATGTGCTTGGTTTTGCTTGCTGAGATGGTTTGTGAATACTGGGACTCACAGCCCACAGAATTTTTCCTTTATGATGGAACTGTACTCTGAGAACCATCTTCTTTTGCAAGTAAGTATTTCAAAACATAAATGAGTGTAATAATGGCCAATCTTCGCGAGCGAAGATCCAGGGAAGGTCTTTTCACCTTCCAGCCTGTGCATTGGATTTTTTAGGTGAGACACAGTGTGCGCGGAACTGAGCCCACCCTTTAATCCTAAGGTTCATCTGCCGGGGCCAAGCGAGCTTGGACGGTGGCAGCGAGGTCCTTAGGACGTAGATGGGTTGCCTTTCAGGGCTAATGAGCCCCACCTGCCCGGGAGTGGCCCTGACCGGGAATCGAACCCCGGGTCTCTGCGGTGACAGCGCCACGCCCTTACCACTAGACCACCAGGGGCTCCATAAATGAGTGTAATTCTGTGCAAAAAGACAATCTGAAAAACAGCAGATATATCTGGAGTTAACTTACAGCAATCAAATCTATATTCCACACTTGCACATAGTTGTAGAATTTGATATCTTGCCAAGATACAGGACAAATTATTTCAGTGCATAATTTACTAGTTTGATTCTCTGACATTTTACTCTCTATGTGCCTGATCTTCTGATCTGACTACAGCTGTGTCTTGTTGTCTTCAAAGGATAGTTAATTGGAATACTGAGCAAGGACCATTCATGTCTCAATAGAAACAGGCAGCAAAAGTTAACACTTTTGAGTGATTAAAGTGAGTTGATAAGCTGGACGAGTCATGTATTAACTAAAGCCTAATTAAGTTATAGAGACCTGCTAGAGTTTGCTTCTCCTCCCCTTCCTGCCATACAATTATGGAGCTGAGCCACCTCGTGCATCAAGGCTGCAGATGATCAGGCAGGTCATAGGGACAGCACTGCAAAATCTGTATTTGCAATAATTGTTTCAAATATATACTATAGTTTGGAATCTTTTTATTTTACTACAGGCAAAAAGGGAGAAGAGGGAGTTTACTTATCGAAAGAAAATATTTAAGGAGTTGTTGCTTCTCAGTTTCTGTAAAGAAAGGCATGTCAAATTTCATTCTCCACTCCCTACGAGCTGAAACCCACAAACCCATCTCAGAAGTGTTTATATATATATAATTATATACCTACGTATATGTATGTACAAGGTGTGCCCACTTCTAATTACCAACATTGTTTTGACACTTCAGAAAGTAAAACTGAAGAATGCAGTGTCATGAACATACAGGGATGTCTACTATGTACATAATAGCATGAGCTAGGACAAAGTCAACATTTTGTCTTTTTCATGAATTAACTTGCTATTAAAGGATTTGTTTCTTTCATAAACTGTTGCCTCTATAAAAACAAGCGGAGATGAAGAAATGGATATCAAACTCTGAATTAGAATGCATTATTTGTCGTTACTGGTACCAGGTATATATACATAATCTTATACAGAGAGATGTGAGCTTGCTTCGATTCCTTTCCAAGCCAATCTGGAGCTATAACATGGGGCTGAACCCAAACTAATTAGCCCTGTTGAGAGCCACAGTGTATTAGCTCAAGAATTAATGCAGTTACACAGCTCCTGGTCAGCTAAAAATATGAGAAGAATAAATGTGTGTATGCTTTAAACTCAGGAACAAAGAGTTTGATCTGCATACAAAGTATTATATAGACATACATACAATTAAGTTGTTTTGTCTGCAGTTACACACCTTTCTGGGGGGAAGTTGTATGTATTGGGTACCATTGCTAGGGAACTGACATTCAGGAAAATCATTGGATGACTAAAAATATGTGTTATTATACCATATTCTACAGTTTTCCTATATATTTTGTGAACAGCTGATTGAGTGTATTTTGCCATGGAAACTTACACAAATATGACTATTTCCCATTGCTGCTTGTAGCAATACATTGCATGTACACAAATATTACAATCCACTGAAGAACTAAGCTGTTCATTTATATAAAAGAACGTTAGTACTTTAAAAGTTTAAAGTCTTATTAAATAATATAATTATTGACTGTCTTTCTCTGAAAGTAGAATGTTATGTATCCCACCAATGTCAACCAAATACTGTCTGGAGAAATAAAGCATGAGCTCTAAAACTTCAGTGTTATGAAATACTAAACTTTTAATCAATGTGCTATATGCCAGTAGTATCAGTAACTTGTCAAATAGCATGAGTTTCTTGTGTTTAAGGGAAGCTTTTCCTACATGATTCCTTTAATTTTAAAAACAAATAAACAAAAAACCTTCTTACCCCATCATAAGTTATGTTCTCTGCTTCATTTTCTGGTTGCTTATTGCAAGAGATTCCAGTGTAAAACACAGCAAGAAATAAATCTATGGGGCTTCCAAACTAAATTCCATTTTGAAATACGATCTCTATATTTCAGATTTTAAAATTGTTATATAACGCAATTTTTTCCTTATCTGCTTTTTACCCTAGCAGTCTGATAAATTTTGACATCATGATGAACATGATAAAAATTACAGTACATATTTAATAATTCCTTGCCTTTGTTAAGAATATTTCTTATAATTTCTTATTGGTAATGCTTTTTAAAATGGTTCTTATCTGTTTTATCATGAACTGCATTGTGATTCCTTCTTGAGACATGAAACTTATAATAATTAATTTTTTCTTATTAGTCCAGAATCACAGTATTCTATTTCCATTCAGTAGTAATGATCCTTTTTTTTCAAGATCTCATTAGCAGGTGAACTACTTATTAAATGTGGTTTTCCATTATAAACATATTTACCTGTGCATATTATCCTTCTATGTCCCTGTATTTCCCCTTTCTGTATGAACTACATTCACTATAATTGAGTAGATTCTTACTTCTGCTCTTTGTCATATTTTCAAAGCTGACCATCTCTGCAAAGTGCTGACAAATGACCTCTGAAGTCAACAACAGACAGAAGCTCTGAACACGTTGATGGCACTTTGTAGTAATGGGTACAAAGAGCCCGCTTTTGTTGAAATATGTGGTTGCATGATTCCTGAGGTCACTGGTATTTCCAGCTTGTCAAGACATTTTGCAGTTGGTCTTTGCCTTACAATGATGATTACAATTAGGCATATAATAGCCTAAATCCAGAGATTCAATATCGAGCAAGAATGCAGACCTGTATTGTTTTAAGTATGTGCTGACAGAGCAAGCAGCAATGCTGAGGTGATTCTGTGAGAGGGAGCGAGTGTGTCAGCTCTGCTAGAACTACTGCTGCTACCCAGGCAGAGCATCTGCAAGTCCACAGTGAGAAGGGGAGCAGAAGCCAATGGTAATTGAAATAGAGAGCAGAAGTGGTGGAAGGAGAAAAATCGTGCATGTCTCGTAAGGTATTGAGATCAGGAAGAACAGTCTTATGGAAAGTCTTCAAAATGCCCCAGCTGAAAAAGCCTTTTGCTATTATGGTTTCTCCTGTCACTGAGAATCAGCAGAGCAACAGATCTTTTTCCTTTATGGTTGTTTCCTGTGTAGCAAACAGTACTGGATGAGATAATTTTAATTCTCTTTTCTC